AATATATATTTTATTTAAAAATATTTTTTATTGATTTTTCTACAGAGAGGAAAGGAGAGGGATAGAGAGTCAGAAACATCGATGAGAGAGAAACATCGATCAGCTGCCTCCTGCACACCCCCTACTGGGGATGTGCCCGCAACCAAGGTACATGCCCTTGACTGGAATCGAACCCGGGACCCTTCAGTCCCCAGGCCGACGCTCAATCCACTGAGCCAAACCGATCAGGGCAATTACTTTTTTAAAAAATATATTTTTTATTGATTTCAGAGAGGAAGGGAGAGGGAGAGATAGAAACATCAATGATGAGAGAATCATTGATTGGCTGACTCCTGCACGCCCCACAATGGGGACCAAGCCGGCCATCTGGGCATGTGCCCTGACTGGGAATCAAACCGTGACCTCTAGGTTCATAGGTTGATGCTCAACCACTGAGCCACACTGTCCAGGCTTGGTTAATTTCTTTTTCTAACTTCTGTTTTCCCCCATTGGGTCTTTCCTTGCCCCCTTTGATTCGACCTCTTGGTCCACCTTGTTTTCCCTCTTTCTTACCAGCCTTTCCTGTGATGGCATTGAGGTAACCTCTGGTGGCCATGTACACACCAGCCTGACCCACTGACGTGCTGTGATCCCAGCCAAGAGCTGTGCCCCTCCTGCCAGTACGCACACGTTTCTGCAGGTGCATGGAACCCCTGCCCTGATATCTCACCTCTTTCCTCCGTTTAGCAGGTGGAGACAATATCTTTTGTGCTGCTTAGACCCCAGAGGTCTGTGCACAGAATTCAGGTGTCCATGAACTGGGATGGGAAAAATGACATCTTTGTTTCTACTAACCTCTAACCGACACTGGCATTTCCTTCTGTTATGAGTGTGAAAGTATTAGCAGTGCCCATGACTCGGTCACTTTACAGAGGGTGGCAGATATTTCCCAATATCACTATGTTCATTACCACTGTGAGAAATTTTTTTTTTAATCCTCACCTGAGGATATTTTTCCATTGATTTTTTAAAATATATATTTTTATTGATTTCAGAGAGGAAGGAAAAGGGAGAGAGAGATAGAAACATCAATGATGACAGAATTATTGATCGGCTGCCTCCTGCATGTCCCCCACTGGGGATCGAGCCACAACCTGGGCATGTGCCCTTGACCTGAATCAAACCTGGGACCTTTCAGTTCGCAGGCCAACGCTCTATCCACTGAGCCAATCTGGCTAGGGCTTTCCATTGATTTTTAGGTAGAGTGGAAAGGAGGGGGAGAAACAGAGAGAGAGAGAGAGAAACATTGATGTGAGAGAGACACATCGATTGGTTGCCTCCTACGTGCACCATGACCAGGGCCGGGGATCGAACCTGCAACTGAGGTACATGCCCTTGACGGGAATCAAAGCCAGGACCCTTCTATGCGCAGGCCGATGCTCTATCCAATGAGCCAAACCGGCTAGGGCACCACTTTGAAATTTCAATGACTGTCAGGCCAGGTCCAGTTATTTGATACTTTAATAAAGAATGGTGTCACTAATATTCTAGAAAATACTCTTAATACTATTTATTTAATTACTAGAGGCCCAGTGTACAAAATTCAAACAAGAGTAGGCCTTCCTTCCCCCAGCTGCCTGCACTGGCTTCCCTCTGGCACCTGGGACCTGGGCTTCCCTCGCAGCCCAGGCTTCATCCAGAAGGTCGCCCGGAAGGATGTCTGGTCTAATTTGCATATTATGCTTTTATTATTATAGATAATATAACTTAGTATTATAATTTTAACACTTTAAATGAAGACTATGTTGCTAATTACTGTTTAATACTTTGAGAACTGTATTTCAGTATCATTGTAGTCCTTTGTAATCTTATGGACTTCGTGTGCATTTGCAAACATTCTTCTGAGAAGGGCTGCATATGTATCCCCTGAGGGCCAGGGGGGCGTCCATGGCACCAAAACTGGTTCAGAAGTGCTGGCGCCCAGCTGGTATGGCTCAGTAGTTGAGCATCAACCTATGATCCAAGAGGTCATGGTTTGATTCCCGGGGCCTCGGTCCTCAGTGGGGGACATGCAGGAGGCAGTCGATCAATGATTATCTCTCATTATGGATGTTTCTCTCTCTCTCTCCTCCCTTCCTCTCTGAAATCAATAAAAATAAATAAATACAATTTTTAAAAAGTTTCAGCTCCTCCAGGACAGGGTCCTCTGAGAGGACCGATGGCACTCTGTAGTCACTATCTGTGATAGGGGCCCCTCTTCCCTGGACTTGGGAACACCTGGGACTGGGACCCTGAGTGCCACATCCTATACGCCTGGTGCCCACCACAAAGCCCAGCACATGGGTACTTCTCAGCCAATGTTGACCTGAATAGAGCCACAGCCCACAGAGATATTAGTGATGGGGATGGGGAAAGGGATCTGGGAATTGCTTCTTTCCCTGGAAAAAACCAGCACAGGTGAGCTGAAAGGGAACATGGCCCTGATGGTGGGCGTTCAGTTCAGGGGGCCCGGAGCCCTCCCCTCCCACATTGTTCTGAGGTTGTCTGACTCTATATCTGTCTCCTCACATGCCAGTTGCATGGCCCCAAAGTGGCTGTCCAAAGGCAGAACCTGGCCCGGCTGGCGTATCTCAATGTGGTTGAGCATAGACATATGAACCAGGAGGTCACAGTTCAATTACCGGTCAGGGCATGTGCCCGGGTTGCAGGCTCAATCCCCAGTGTGGGGCGTGCAAGAGTCAGCCGATCAATGATTCTCTCTCATCATCGATGTTTCTATCTCTCTTTCCCTCTCCCTTCCTTCCTGAAATCAATAAAAATATATTTTCAAAAACCAAACAAAGAACAGGCAGAACCTATCTCTGTGTTGGATTGCACCAGCTGGCCCCCCACCTAAATGATGACCCAGGCCCGCTTTCTCCTGTACGTCTGTCTCCCTTCAAACATGTTCATTGCAGGCACACGTGGGGTGTGCCGTGTGAGTATGTCTTTTATGCACAGCAGGCTGGGTCTTCTCCTGAGCCCGGGCCCTCAGCTGGCTTACCGCACAGGGAGACGGTGTAGCCCTCCACAACGCACAGAGGGTGGCCCAGCACAAAGTAGCCATAGATTTGGTTCACGACGCTGATGGTGCTGGCGATGAGGGTCTCTGCCAGGTCAGCCACAGCCAAGTTCACCAGGATCCAGTTTAGAGGGTGGCGCAGCTTCTTGAACCTCATGGTGGCCACCAGCACGAGCCCATTAGTGAAGACAGACGCAATGACCACGAAGACCATCCAGGCACTGGTGAGGTGGTACACCCATCTGGGGGCAATGTGGTAATTGGGGCCTTCAAAGGGGCCTGGAGGCAGGAGGGACAGAGTAGGTAGTGGCGTCATCTGCCTGTATGGCTACACCCATCCGTCCTCTCCCCACCCAGACAGAGCCTCCCGTCAACACTCCCGCTCTCCTACCTGCTGCCTTTCTCTCTACCTTTGTCCATCTGCAAACAACCTGCCCTCAATCCCGTCTCTCAGGCCAGAGGATCTGGCTCGATGGACAGCCGCACAGGCATCTTTGAACTTGACAAAGTGAAACTCCTCATCATCTCTGCTGGGTATCTCTCCCTCTTCTGATTCACCACCCCAGTACACTGGGCCATGCCCCTGTAATGCCATTGTCACGCTTCTGCTCCCCTGAACCCTCATACCCCCTATATCAGGGGTCCTCAAACTATGGCCCGCGGGCCACATGCAAATACAAATATTGTATTTGTTCCCATTTTGTTTTTTTACTTCAAAATAAGATATGTGCAGTGTGCATAGGAATTTGTTCATAGTTTTTTTTTAAACTATAGTCCGGCCCTCCAACGGTCTGAGGGACAGTGAACTGGCCCCCTGTTTAAAAAGTTTGAGGACCCCTGCCCTATACTGTCTTCCTTGTGCACTTAATGTCTTTTTGTTGTTAGATCTTCTTTTTTTAAAATATCTTTTTAAATTGATATCAGAGAGGAAGGGAGAGGGAAAGAGACAGAAACATCAATGATGGAAAGAATCATTGATCAGCTGCTTCCTGCACGCCCCACACTGGGGATCGAGTCCGAAACCCAGGCGTGTGTTCTGACCAGGAATTGAACCTTGACCTCCTGGTTCATAGGTCCACGCTCAACCACTGAGCCACGCTGGCTGGGCTGTTGTTGGATCTTCACTCACACTCTCCCCTGCACCAGGTCCTCTTCCGTTCCACGCCATGAAGCCCGGGTCAGATGCCCTTGGCTTCTGGAAGCCTCTCCAGATTTCCCCAGCTGAGAGTCAACTCGGCCCCTTGGGACTACCACGATGAGACCCTAAGATGTTCTAGTATATATTGGAGTTCCCCGGAAAGTACAGAGGTTCAGTGTGAGAATAGCAACTGGGACTGTGAGGTGTTTGAAATACTCCAGCTTGCAAGCAAATGCAAGGGGCGGAGGCAATTTCAAAATGAAACAGACTGAGTAGTGTCCTTCCCAGACAACCCAGGGAGACCAGATCGGGAGGACAGGGATAAGAGGGACAGGGCAGGAACAAGGGCCATGCACGGTGCCGGAGGGACTGGGGCACTCTGACTGTGGGAGGCCAGGAAGGAGTGCCTCCAGCAGTGCCACCTTGCTCCTGCCTCCTGAAAACTCTGGGACTCATTTTGTGAAGAAATGAGCACGAGAAGGTATTCTAAAAAATACCGGAAGGGAGCCCGGCCAGCATGGCTCAGTGCTTGAGCATCGACCTATGAGGTCAACCTCAATTGGCTTCACTGGGGAACCAAGTCATTATTTTGAAATAGGAGAGATAAAAAGGAAGAATCAAGCATTTCTCCTGTCTTTCCCATATACATCCCCCCCCAAAAGGGAACACAATAGTAGATGAGGACATGTTTCTCTTTATCGATGTAATCCAGCTAACAGACGAAGACAGTCCGAATGCAATTTTTGCAATCCCCAGTGGTTTAATGGGTCTGGGCATTGGGCTCAGCAGCTGCCAACACCCTGGAAAAAAGGACCCCCCCCCAGTGGAGCAATCTTGTCAAAACACGCGACAAATCCAGCTGACCTCTCAGCAGACCTTCAGAGCAGCCAGTTTACAGAAACATCCTGACGAATGGGGTGGGCGGGGCATGGGAAGCCACACATAGGAAGACATCAGCAGAGTCTGAAGTGAGTGAGTCCAGGGACTCATTTACTTTGACAAATAAATTGCAAAGAGGTCGAGGGGGAACCTCGAAATTAAAAAAGGCTATAAAGACATATCTATAATAGGGACGCGTGGGCCTTATTTGAACCCTGATTCAAACAAACAAAGCATGTACCCTGACCAGGAATCGAACTGCAATCTCTTGGTTCGTGGTTCAATGCTCAACCACTGAGCCACACCACTGAGCCAGCCGGTCAGGCTATGGTTATGTTTCCTAGAATCCTTTTCTCTTACAGGTGCGTACTGAAGATTTATAGAGGAAATGGTGTGATGTCTTGGATCTGCTTCCAGAAATCAGAAGGAGG